TCAACCAGCACCCCCAGGTCCTTTTCCTCTGGGCAGCTTTCCAGCCACTCTTCCCCAAGCCTGTAGCGCTGCATGGGGTTGTTGTGGCCGAAGTGCAGGACCCGGCACTTGGCCTTGTTGAACCTCATACAGTTGGCCTCGGCCCATCGATCCAGCCTGTCCAGGTCCCTCTGCAGAGCCTTCCTACCCTCGAGCAGATCAACACTCCCTCCCAACTTGGTGTCGTCTGCAAACTTACTGAGGGAGCACTCGATCCCCTCATCCAGATCGTTGATAAAGATATTGAACAGGACCGGCCCCAAAACTGAGCCCTGGGGAACACCGCTCGTGACCGGCCGCCAACTGGATTGAACTTCGTTCACCACAACTCTCTGGGCTCGGCCGTCCAGCCAGTTTTTTTTACCCAGCGAAGAGTGTACCTGTCTAAGCCATGAGCCGCCAGCTTCTCTAGGAGAATGCCATGGGATCTGAGGAAACAGGTATTGTGCAGTACAAAATAGGGTTCAGTGGACTGCAAGAGGTGCCTGCCTTGGGCTTTAGAATCTGCATCTTCTGAAGAAAGCTGAAGTGACACTCTTTTTCAAGAGCAAGAGTGCTTGGTTTCAAACTTGATATGGAGATTAGGAAGCACTTAGGCTCTTTCTCCTTTCTCTCCATCCCCCCAGTCTTGCACTTGATAATTATGTTTTCATAAAAGATATCTTTACTGTGCTTTCAAAACTTTTCCTCATTTTTTTTTCTTGTAAAACCTTTCCCCGAAAGCTAGGCAGATAGCCCAGTTGGACCACCACCGCTGACCCGGGTTTGTCTGCTTTTTCACTCCCATCAGCTGTCTTTTTACTTTGCCCGTTGATCAGAAATACTATTGGGCAGGGATGACCTGTGCTGAGACTCTGACACTGCCAGTTAAACTTGAGGTCATGCTGGGTCTGCAGCATGTTGATTGCCAGTTAACAGAGAGCAAGAAACAGGCTGTTAAGCCCTCATATAGGGGGACCCATATGCTTGTAAATGGAAATGTTACTGTGCCCCTTGACG